TTACAGACACAGCATTTGCTTAAATTAGATTTTGTATCTTTCTGTAGTTAGTTGAAAAGCTCATGACTGCCAACACCTGTAATCCAAAGCCAGGCTTCTGACGGAAAAGTCTACAAACACAAACCACCTCTCTGTAAGTCACCACTGTGCTCAGCACGTGCTCCACATCCAGACAGCTTGGCTCATCCCACCAGGCGTGCTGATGAGTTTGCTAAGGGTCACATGCTTGCACAACAGAAACTTAGGCAGTTCTTACTACCATTTTCTATTTTTTATGCTTCCTCTTTAATTCTTTAAATAACTCTTTAAATATTTCCATTTGGACACAGATTTAACTGCTCAGATTAAAACTACGGCACCAAGTTACAAACAGTCCGGCCAGAGGTATCTCTTTGTTATACATAGGTGAAGAAATGACAAAGGGATTTGGTTTTATCCAGCCAGTCCCAAAACTCCATGCTACCAACACGGGCACAGAGCATAAAAGGACAACAAAAAAGATGAACTGAACACACATCCTGAGGGAAGGACAGCTACAGCAGCTGGCAGCCAGCACTGCTGTCTGGCAACAAACATACACAAAAAAAACCCAACCCAAAACCAAAAAAGAAAAGCCTTTGATATGCATCTGCATTAACAGACTTCTGTTTATAAACTTTGAAAAGTTTTTATTTTATAGATAAATAGCATGGTGATTTTAAAAGTTGAGAAACAACACAACTTAAAAGCTCTGATTCCAAAGATAATAACTACTCATCAGAGTTTAAAATTTACTCTTACTCCAGCATACTGAGATGGCAGCTCCCTCCTTTTCATATTGCACTTAGAACTCAAAACCTTCTTGTAAAGGCTACATTGTTTTCAGGTCCAAGCACCGATGCTGACAGTTGAAACCAGTGTCTCAAAACATCTCCAAATGCAAGCAGAAAGTTTAAGTTGTTGTAACTGCCATGCTTAAACACAGCAAAACTGAAAATAGTGTTCTCTTTCCAAAGTGAGAGAAAGCTGATATTCCCAGGATTCCCTTAATGCAATCAGAAATGGATTATCATTTGTGATGACTGGGTATGGACAATCACATAGTTGAAATTATAATTGAGGAGTTTAGCTCATAATTCTTTTGGGCCTGCTGCTTCTAAAGAGTGTATTTTGTACTGTTTTCATATTTGTAAAGTTACTTCCATCATGGCTGGGTCAAAGATTTAGTTATTCTAAGAAGTAAAAAGGGACAAGAGGAAAGAACAGATTTCACTCTTATTCAAAATATACAATACAGCAGTTAGACTTAAAAGCTATGCCAAAACAGCACTGAAAAATAGAGGTTGAAATTATGACAAGAAATCTCAGCGAAATTTCAGTGTGACAGAAGAAATTTGCATTCATTACAAGAACGAGAAGAAAGTATCTTACTTCTTTGAATTTCTAGAAGAACCATGGTTACTTGTCTTACAACCTGTTTCTAGCATCTCTCCAACGTAATACCAGTTAACTTTCCCAAATTCAAAGTTTTTCCTAATTACGTCAGTGCTCCCGGAACATGGTTTTGCATCATGTCTGGAGTGAAGTTAGAATGGTCATAAATGTCAGCAATTTTATCAAGTGAGATAATAGAAGAAAACATAAAAGAATTTTTGTGCAGACTACAGGCCCATTACAGCATAAGCTGTTTTTGATGTCATAGGAAAACAGCTTAAAGCACCAAGCTCCAGGCTTATGCCACTCCTCACTGCCTACTTACTGCACTGTTGTGGTCACTGAAAAAAAGTAGGCTACCACAGGAAAAACAGTACTTTTTCCCTTTAAATGTTTGCACAAACTTTATTCTTTGCTTCCTGTTTTTATATCTAAACTTATTTTTAAAAAATTCATTAAAAACAGCACTGATGTAGATATTACTTAGCAAAAAGAAAACAGAAAAAGAATTGTGTTAAGTGCAGCTTTTATAATCACGTTCTCATATTTTTTCCTTTTACATTTACCACAAAAGCAGCATCTTTTCATTGATTTTACTCCAAGGGAAAACATAGGAAATCACTTTTTTGCACAGAGGAGTAAAGTTGTGGACCAGAAACTCATTTCCCCACAGGACGTTTCAGATGGAGTGTTGTGATTTTGCATCATTAAGGCAAAATGAGGAATACTTCTGTCACATGTCACACAGGGCTCTCCCACTCTGGCTGCTTGATAGACCCATAATTAAAAAACCTTTATAGTTACTTTTTTTTTTAAATAGAAAACAGTCACTCTCTTCATTGCTTATCAGTTTGAAAGAAAAGGCTCTTTCGGGCCTTCACTCAGAACTTCAGTCTTGTGATTAGATCAGGCATATGCAATTGCTTCAAAACAGCAAGAGAAACTAGAACTTGAGCTAAGTGTCAATCAGTTGTAATCTACTGATCTGATTAGAGGCCTTCACAAATGTTTGATGACGATTGCAAATAACAGCCAAGCAGATAGGAATGATGCAGTACCCAACAGTTTTGGGGTCAGCTCTTGTACAGGAATAGAGAAACAAGAACATCTGTAAATATGGTATTAAAAATATTATAGTCCACAGCCAAAAAGGCAAGGATAGCAGTCGTACTTTTAAGGAGTGCGTCCATGTGGTTCCTTCCTGTGGCTCCTTCGGATGTTGCTGAATGTGCTCCAGTGCTAGTTTGTTGTAAGTCTCATTGATTTCAAAGACATAATAAAAAGCCGCAGCACTTGCTAACAAGTACAGCCCCACACCAATCCATCCCATCCTCTGGCGGAAGTTCATCATTCTCCATGCTCTGCACCTGGAACAAAAGGTGACATAAACATTTAGTACAGCTTGGGAAAGAGGAGACACAGATGAACCTTGGTTCTTGTAACTTAACTTTCTATAACTTTTCATTACACATTAGTTTAAACAGCACACACAGCAATTTCTGAAGACTCAAGTTCTCTCTGCTTCATAGAAAATGACAGTACTCTGCCAGTGACAGGTTAATGGTAAGGACCTACAGAGCTCTATTGATGGCTCTGGCTATTCTAGAGCCTGCTGGCTGTCAGGATATACCCAGTCAAAAGACAGAGTGAACACAACAAAAGTCATCAATTGGACAGATTACCTACCTCATTTGCCCTCATTGTCTCTAGATGCAGGGTGGGACAACACAAGATTTTCTATAAATATTAAAGTTTGGAAAGTTCTTTGATGTCTGCAAGACAAACGTGCTGCTAGACAGCTAGTAACAGGAACATCACTGCTTGTTTGTGGTGTAGCAATGTCCAGTTGTATTAAGCTCTAGCGGAGTGCCTATCTATGAACCATATGTTTTCAATTAGAACATCAGAAGATACGTACCAAAGCTATGTATTTGCACACGTGAAGGTACTATAAGCATGTTCCTTGCACCTAACTGTATTCCTGCTGTCCCTGTGTGGACAGTTGCCACAGCCCTTCCAGAGGAATGGAGCTGCACACCTCTACTGTTCAATGCCTCGGTGCAGAACAAACCAGACACCCCTCCACTGGCACTTTTCAGGAAAAGCACAAATTATTGGAGCACCACAGATACTACTGGGCCTAATTTTAGCTGCTTCAAATCTCCAGCTGGCAGCATGGGATCTAGGTGACTGGAAACACTCTTCAATCCAGTCACAAACAGTCCAGCTGAAGTACCTCCATACAAAGTCATCACCTCTTTCCCTCAAAACGGCCCTTGCTCAGGGCAGGGAGAACCACTGCAGCTGATTAGGGCTCCCCTAACAAACAGGCTTTTTCAGACTTGGGCTTTTGCTTTTCCTACCTTTTTTAAGAGAGGGGTAAAATCCATCTATGTAATGCTGGTTTAAGAGAACGCATTAAGCCTTAAAACATTAGGCAGAAACGCATATTTAAGAATGAATTATGCATACAGAACAATGACAATTCATGGAAGTATGAGATTCTTACCATAAGCGATAAAAAAAATCACTACCCCTTTCTAAATCACCCTTTCTGAGCTCGACTATTTGGTTAGCAATCTTGAAGGGTATCCTTAATCCTGACCTTACAGAATCCGGTCAGGGTAGCCCTGGAGAAATTGTTCTGGCCCTCACACTGCTGCGTTCATGGTGGTTAAAACAGTCACACATACAAGGATATTAAACACCTAGGAAAGAATAGTAAATACCTGAGAATACCATTACTTATGTCTATGATCGCTACTTCTTGTTTAGCTGATCCTTCTGTATAACTTAACTGCATAATTTCCCTTTGATACCCTGAGTCTATAGTTTTAGTAGGACACCTGAAAAATTTGTGTAAGAAGTTGTTAATCTACTGGGTAACACTCGAACCCCCGAGTCCACGTTTACGCAGCAAATAAGCCACTGGATGTTTTTTCCAGCAGTTCGGCATTGCCAAGCTGGCTCACGAGTTGTCGCCTTCGAAGAAAATAAATCTTCGGAAGGCAATTACATACTGAAAGCACAAGTAGTATTAAAACAGCAGCGGATTTAAGAAGGTAAACAGCTGCGGATTTTGATCCTGCCCTTGAGCAGTGGTCAGGAGAGCAGCCTTAGCTCCGGGTTACACCAAAGGGGGAAACACTCAGGAGTTTTCTCATTCTTACTCTCCGTTTCCAGACCCCATTGCAACTCGCAGCTTTTGGGGACACCCGTAATGGTTACCGGACCCGCTCACCCCCACTGGGGTCTCCTCCCTCCACCGCCCGCCGGACTCGTGCTGCTCCAGGCGAGACGCGCCTCGCCGCCAACCGGTCCTTCCCCGGCGCCGGGAGCCCCTTACCTTGCTCCGGCGGAGAAGGAGGGAGCGGGAGGGCGGCGGCGGGCGGCCCGCTCCCCTCAGCCCGCGCCGCGGCGCCGGGAGGCGGCGGGTGCCGCGGTCCCGCCCCGCTGCCCGCCCGCCGCCATCGCCCCCACCGGCACCGCCGCCACTTCCGGCCCGCGCCAAAGGCTGCCGGGGCGCGCGGCCGCATCCGGGGCGGGCGCCTTGGCCGGCCGCCATCTTGGCCCGGGCGCGCGCCACTCGATGGCGGGGGCGGTCTCGTTCGAAATGGCGGCGGCGCCGAGGGGCTCTCGGTTCCCTCGCGGGGGGAGAGACCCAAACTGCTGTGCTGGGACAGGGGCTGCGTCGAGGGAAATACCAATAGAGGCTACTGGGTTGTGTAACAGCCTCCAACAACTGATATGCATGTATTTAAAAACCAGTATATGCTAATACAGAAACATGACTGACTGACTTATTTCTATCGAATTAAATTATTAGGAAATATTATGTTCTTATTATCCCGTGTCGGGGGGGGATGTGTTTGAACTAGATGATCTTCAAGGTTCATTCCAACCCCTTAACATTCTGTTGTTCTATGATCTACTGGGTAAAATCCTTCAATGAAGCCAAAAGATCATTTAAATTGAGCAAAAAAAATTATCCGGCCAGGTGTGTGCCATTCAGTGACAGCACCGCAATGACGTTGGGAGAATTTGTGTGTGCAGAACGTGTTTGCCTGAATTCAGGAACTGTGTGGTGTGATGTGCTCTGTGTTAGTTAATTCAGTAACTGCACAGTGTTATTTGTGAAATGAAAACTTACTACTAAATGGCTGTATTCCCAAAGTCATGAGATAACCACTGTTTCTCATAGAGAAAGCAGCAGTGGCCAAAATTCACATTCATCCAGCTGTAGTTAAAAAAAAGAAGTCTAAAATAGAATTTAAAAAGGGATGTCCAATAAAAAATGAAAGATGCTAAAGCAATTACATTTCTTTTTTGGGATGTAAATAAGTATATACACGTAGGATCTTCTGCCATTTTTCTTGGAGGACGTAGTGGGTACATGTGAGGCAGTATATAAAAGCCACTGCAAAATTAAATTTATGATGGCTTATCCTGCTGTGTTTGGTGTTAAAATTAAAAGTGTTAGAAGCTGGTGTTTTGGGTTATATTCAGGACAGCTGATGACTAAGTGCACGAAGCTGCAGATATCGTTAGTGAAAAGAGACACTGCTGAGAGCCCACAAGAGTCAACATATAATATAAGTTCTCTGGCACAGAGCAACTACACCTTAGGCCATGCTGCTTTTTTTAAAATTATTGTTTTAATGCCTATTGAATTAAAGGCCCAAAAGCGACACAAGATGGCGCCCGGCACCGCAGGCAGAGCCAACCTGAGCAAAACCCGACTGCCAGGTTTTGCACTTGAATTCAGTTGAATGAGGATTTCATTACCTTTCATGAAGTTTAAATACCCGTTAGTGTAGTTCTGATGAAAGGTGTCAACATGAATAGCTACATAGCTAATGAATAGCTAATTATCCCTGGGACAGTTCTCTTGACTAACTGCCATTCTTGCTGTTCTTACAGGTGGTGAGGTCCCAGTTGATCTATAAGGGAATAAACCTCTTGCGGAGCTAAAAGACTCAAGCATGGCTATATTGCATTTTCTTATCTTGAGGTTAGTGGTAATGATGGGAAATGAAATAGTTACCACAGAGAGCCTATTTTCTTTAAAATACCAACCTAGATGTCAAAGAGAAGGATTTCAGTACAAATTAATATGGGACTGTGTGAATATATGGCTTGGCAGTGTGCTAAGTGTAAAGCCTGCATTTGCACTTAAGATTCTGAGGAAAAGGGATTGGAATGTGGGACTTATTTCTACTTAGGAAGCCTGTCTTTTCTCTGAACTGTTGGAGTTGGAAAGGGAGGAGGGTTTATGATTTAACCAAGCAGGTTAAAAGACCCAACCATAGGTCTTCTCCTCTATGTTAAGCATAGGCCTGAGACTATGGTTATGAAGAGAAGAATCTAGAAAAATTGAGGAGTTATTATAACAAACACAAGGCCTTTGAAAGCTAAGGCATAACACCAGACAAAGTGATTTGTAATATTTTTTGGCTAGATCCCAATCTGCATAAATTCAGTGTTATGCTTAACCTTTGGCATAGTATAGGAAAGGACACAGCAAATAGCTCAGCTGAGGGTTTGATTGGTTAGTTAGTTTTAGCAGCAGCTCTTTGAGGGGGGAGGGAAGCGACTGTTCTCAGCTTTAGAAGGGTTTCGAGCTAAATTCCAGTCATGAGGACTGTTAATAATAAGGGGAAAGAATTCGTGAGAACTGGTAATAAGGAGAAAGAACTAATACTCTGCATATTGAAATGAGAATATATACCTGGTGAGACTTAATTCAGCTTGCAAACCACAGGAGAAAATAGAAGTCTGTTGAATCCAAAAGAAATAATATTTAATGAATAGAATCAGAGAATTAATCATGGGATTTTGTAGCATTAACAAAGAAAAAAACGTTTCACTTAGTTTTGTCAGGCGGCGTATTTTTGTAGAAATACCGGGTTTATTTTGAAGGTAAAACAGAAGGGCATTGGGAGCAGTGGGGCTGGCTGCTCCATCAGGGGCAGGAGCCAAGCACGATAACACAGCTGGTAGGGCAGAGCCTCACTGCCCACAGTACCTGAGCAAAGCAAGCAGGGCACACCACATTCAGCCAGGATGTACAGGCAAGCAAGAAAGCAGGTCCAAGGTCAAGCTGGGAAGGCAGTCCACAGGTTAGGGTCAGGTGCAATGAGGAGAACTCGGGTCAGATATAACCTAGTGATTGCCATACAGGTCCATACTGGGAAGAAAAGACTGAGCTCAAACTAGGAAGTCAGTCTATAACTCCAGGTCCTGATGAACATGGCTTGACACAGTCATGACTGAGCTGGAGACCCATACTCCTAATACATAGGTCAGGCACGGTCTGAAGCCCCAGGGCTCAGTTTAAGTGGGGCTCCTGAGCCCTTGCGAGTTGGGCAGGTGAGGATTGTTGGCCTATTAAGGCCTGTTCCTGCACTCAGGATCCTGACAAAGTACATAGGATAAATGAGGGCTGACAATAGGAATCAGAAGGCTTAGTTGTAATCTTTGAGTCAAACAAAGTTTTCATAAAACAGTATTAATGAAAGGTCTTCCCTAGACTTAGATTATGGCCAAAAAGAAAAGCAAAAGTAGAAGACCTGAGATAATTACTAAACCAAAATTAGTTGGGCTTCCAAATGGAAGGCAGAAGCTGAAGGACAGAATGCATTTTGCATTCTTTTGGGTGGATCTTTATGTTTATGTTTAACATAGTTGTACTAGGTTCTCATTGACAAGTAACTCAGAAGGGAGACTCTATTACAGAGACATTTCTGTCAAGACAGTATTTGCCTTCCCCTTTGTAGGATGCTGAGTTTTGATTCAACAGGAACACCATGTTCCCAGATCTTTTCCTTCTTAATCATCAGTCTAAACACATGGCTAGAGCACTGGGATCCCTACAGACTCCATATGTGCTTGGATTCCAAGGAGAAATCTGGCATAAATGAGGAGAACAGGGCATGAGTGCATGTGTTGGTCCTATGAAGATCATACCCAACCTTAAGCCTCTTAAGAAGGTTAGACTAGTTTTAGGGTAGGGCTAAGCTGAGGAGTGAGGGATGAAACATAGAGCTCCTTGAAAATGCTCACTTGCTGGTTATGGAGAAGGAAGGCAACTGAAAGAAAGGAAGATAAGCTCCCATCTCTTCCTTATACTTGGAAGGTGGGGCACAGAAGAGCAAACTGAAGAACCACTGCTTTGATCAGAGAAAGAAAACCACATGGAAGCCCAAGCCTCACATGACATCTGCCCTCATCTCCAGCTGGGCAAACTCCCCTTTGTGCTACAAGAAGAGGTAGTGCTGTGTTTATACAGAAATGCAGAAGGGAAAGGTTTTTCAGTGAATCTGAAGTAACAGATCTGAAAAACTGAGGAGGCATGTTGGGAAAATGCCTTTTTTTTCCTTTTTTTTTTTTTTTCTCTCAGAACAATGTTTATAGTACTCATGTGAATTTTTATCAGTGAGTGCATGAATGCCCAGTGTTTTTGCAGCTTGCAGCTGTTTTGGCTGTTAGATGTAGTTGCAGTGAATTTCATAGTATCCTGTTGTGGTGTAATAAGTTGTTTTGATCAGTTTCTTATCATTTACTGTGAGTCAAAAACAGTAGTTTCCTTCAATTCATATGTTTTATTTCATGTTTTATGAATCCTTATTTTGTGTTTTAGAACTTTTGTTTCTTCTGAAAGTAAGGCTACAATCTTCTGATTCCCTTTTTTTCTCAGGTGGTTATTTTTCTTGTACTATTGTCTTTCTTTGAACTTCTTTGTTGGAAACATCTGTTTTCTCAGAGAGTGTACCACATTTATTTGGGAGCATGTAAGACATTTTTCTATATGTTGGCATTTTTATATTTTATGTCTTCTCCTTTTGAATTGAAATAGTATATTTGCTTGGTTTAGCTACACTGACCACAAAAAGCAGATATTCAGTAAATTGTGTGTAATCCATGGTGATCTTTTCCTCCTTTGACTTGCTTTGTATGCTTTAAAATGTTGGGAGCTTAAATTACCTTAATCTTTAATTCTCAGTTCCTGAAATTCTTCTACGCTTTGTTTGTTAGCAGCAGCCACATCTGAGTTAAGCTTCAGGCAATCATGTTAGCCAGGTCCTCTGAATACCAGCCATACTTTGTTCTTGGTTCTAGAATTATTTACTATCTTTCCAACAAACTTTTTTATATTTACAAATGGAATAGCTATCTCATTCTCCCAAACATCCACAGTAAACATCTGTCAAAGGAAGACTTACACACTACTACCCTTTGTCAAAGTGCCTATAAAGAAACTAGTCTTTTATGAAGAAGGGCCTTGGCATTTTAGACTGAACTCTTAGTCTTCATTACACTGATGCTCCTTGTTCATTAGTTACCAGTGAATATAATCCTCATGTCTACATTGTCTGTGGTAAAACAATTTCAGCAAGAAAGAGATAAAATCTTTGCTTTTACGCTCTGTTTTCAGCCAGTTCCAAAGTGTCTTCAAAGTTGAGCAAGAACTGACAAAACACACTGAAAGAATATGGGCAGAGATGGCTGATGACTGACTGTTTCTCTCTGTGGCATTTATTTAAACAGAGGACAAATACAATTTTTGCAGAAGCAATGCAGATACTGATCTCACAGCTCCAGCAATATGACCCAGCATTGTACTGACCTTGAAGGAAAGAGATCTGTCCTGAAGAATTTTGGTCAAAGGAGTTTATGGTTATGAATTGCATTTCAGCAAAACCATTATTCATTACAATTTCTTGTTTTTAACTAAATCTGCACAAATAATATTAAAAAAAAAATCCACTTCCAAAGCTGCCATTAAACTCCCGAGAATTCTGCTCTTCCATGATTTCAACTGAAGTCTGCTCATACTGCCAGAAAGGAACAGTTACTGAATTTCCATGCTGAGTTTGCTGCTGCCAACATGTTTGGTCATGTAAACAAGTTCACTGAAAAGTCGCTCATGCTAAAAAGAAAAACAGATTCACAACGAGGGATCTGCAGGCCAAAAATGCTGGGTTTGGTCAGATGGCCTAAAAAATAGTAAAAAACAAAAAATCCTGTCTGAGAGTCATTCACTGGAGATATGCACTGTTCCTCTTTCTTCTGTCTATATAGATATTCCAGGAGAATCATCTGACCACCTGAGAGAGTGACAGCTCCATCCTCACAAGAGGAGGTTGCAATGACACTCTTACTTTTCTTTTTAATTTCCGCTAATTAACTCTATGATGCTTATGTGAAGCAAGTCAGTAATACTGAAGAATGGTTTTAGAGAGATTTAGTTATTGTCCCTTCTGAGATTCCCAGTTTCCAGGCTGTACCTATCTTGCTTTAGACTGTGAAGGATGTGCAGCAGGGAATATCTGTATTCAGACTTTCCTGAAGCATAACCTTCTTTTACTAAAGAAACACTGAAAGAACACAGTTCACATTAGGCCTTTTCCCAAATTCAAAGGATCCCAAGACCAGAACTCCCCCTTTCCTACAGAAGTATTAATATCTTCTTTTTTATATCACTTAAATTCATTCTGTTCTTAAAAGCTTTATTATTTTTTATTCTCTAGAGCACTTCAATCACCTAGTGTTTAGTTACTTCATAATATTTTATTATTTGAAGATTTTGTACACAAACCATTGATTTGTCCCTCAACCGTAATCTTGTGTGGTTTTATTTTCAGCACTGTTCTGCGTATTCTTTGCTTATCCTTGAAACCTACAATTTAGGTTTTGCAAATAAATAATGGAAAGGATTGTGTTGGGCACTTGTGAGTGACTGGTACCTAAAAATGTTACACAGTCAGTCCCATTTACTGACGATATTTATTTAACCAAAACTGATAGCTTTTGGTGTTCTGGTAATAAACTCCATGGTTCAGTTCCCTGTTGAGCTGCCTGCCTGATACAGCAGATATCCCTTACAGTTCTCCCATTTTTTTGTATTTTCAATATTCCTTCCTGGTCCCTAAAGAAGGAAAATCGAGGCCTGGATGAAGAACAGACTTGTCTGAGGCAATGGGAAATCACTGCCGGAGGAAAGCAGAATGACAGAAGTACCTGATGGTTAATCCAAGCATCACATTTGGAGAGCACCTTGTTACTCATGCAAGTGCACAGGGAGAGCTGTCGGCTCAGCATGAAGGGGGGAGGCTTTCATACAAATTTCATCAGTTGGAAGTAAATCTTCATCCTTTTCTGTGTGGAGGGCTCCTATTATTTTTCTGTTGTCTAGGGAAAGATAAAAGCCATCTCACTGTAGTTGTGAAGCTTTTAACTACTCACCTCACCCTGTACCTGAATTTGCCTTTTTCTGAAGCCCCTGCTAGAGGACTGTACCAGAAATCAGCACAGAGCCCCAGAACAACTCAAACAGTTGAACAGAGATGTTAACGGCAGTTGGTGGTTACTCTCAAAGGGAGAGTGTCAATAATTTATTAGTAAGTGAGTATTTGCATTTCATTTAACAAAAGCACACTAAGCAGCATTTGTCAGTCTTTAAAACAAAAGTCCTTTGTTCCTTACTGTGCAGAGTTTGTAAGCTGCTGCTCTTATCATGCCTATATGAAGTGAAATTTCAGGCGGTAATGCCTCCATCGTGCTCTGTCATGAAGACTGCTTAGAGGCGGCCAGCATGGGGCTGGTGGGTGAGAACAGCCATGCAAAGCTGGGAGCATAAGAAAGAATGGCAGAACATAAGTTGTAGATGCCCCTTCTCTGGAAATCTGCACAAATGTGACTCCCCAGAAAAGCACCACTGTTAGCCAGCAACACAAGATTTTTGTTGCTGTAGAAAAGTGTGTGACAATTGGTAGCTCTCCCTTCCCCAGCTGTGTGGAGCACTGGCAAACCAGTCTTTTGGGGCTATTGTCATTGGTATCAAGTGGAGATGATTAACAAAGAAGAGTTCAGGTTTGAGTTCTCTCGAATTTGTGTAGGTGAGATCCTTTGACAAGACCCACTTGCCTATTATATCACATTCTCCCCCACCTCAATCCAGGCCTCATCATCTTCAGAAGATGTCCCACAAATTGTGGTCAATCTCTCTGGCAGCTTCTTGCATTATTGCAGAGTAGCCACCTGAAACCACTGTCAACTTTACCCTCAAGACATCTGCGCTAACTTCTACTTCTCTGACTTGTGAAACCATTTTCTAGAGAGAACTCTGTAGTCCAAGTAGCTGCAAAATAACTTTAGTATATGTGTTTGTGTTTGAGATTTAAAAAAGGGTGGAGGTATGATTACAAAGGTGGAGATTTCTGAAGAAGATCTCCATGTAGTTGAAGTGTTGGTGTGGTTTGCACTTTGTATGTGAAATAAGGAAGGGCATTTTAGTGAAGGCTGGAGAATGGAACCAGGAAAGGCTTTCAAGTTATTTTGACTTTTTTTGAAAGACAACATGCCTGCCTGTACTAAAATTTCCTGTTCATCAGGAATCCAGGGTTGCAGACCAGGATTGTGGGGCAGGAACAGTGAACAATGAGGATTTAAATAAGCTACATACAAGGCATATATATTTATGAATTTATATTATTAGGAATATTATACTGTATATTGTTATTGTTTACCTTGGCTGAATGCCAGGTATCCACCGGGTCTGCGCCCTGCCTCCTCCCGGGGGAGAAGGGAGGAGGAAAGAGGGAAAAGAAAAAAAAACTGCGAAACCGAACCTGCTGAGAAAGGCGGTTTAATATTTACACAGAGAGGAAAAAAAACTATAAACACTATACACACAGAGAAGAACTAACAATAAAGACTACTTCCCCATGAGAACACTCTCCTCCTCTGAAGAAACGGCCCGACTGTTCCACACAGCTACCTGGAAGAGAAGAGAGAGCCTTTGCTTCCTTCTCATTTCTTTTATATCTGAGCTGATGTAACATGGTATGGAATACCTTATTGGCACAATATGAATCAGGTGATCTATCTAGTTCCTTTTCCCTCCCAGGGAGGGTAACAAACCTATTACAGGAGACTTGTGTCCAACTGAATTTCTTCTCAAGAGTGCAGCTTTCAGGCAATACAAACCTATTATTGATCTGACAATTTCAAAAGACAGTACAAGGAAGGCTTTGCTTGAATGCTGAATGTGAACACAAGGCAGCTGTGTTCCTGGGAGAGCTTGTCTGCCTCAGCACCATGTCTGGTGCTCTTTGCCCCAAGTCCTCTTTGCCTACTGCTTGAAAAACTTTTATGGCAGCTCCTTGGCAGGTCCAAACAGTGGTACAAGTTCTTTCCTCTATTTTAAGGTGTTCCTCTCCCTCTCTTATTTATCCTGCCAGGCCTACATATTGAACAAGAATCCCACTTCATAGGCTTGGTGCAAAGGGAGCAGTAACAACCACTACACAAAGTGCTGAGTGTTCAGGAAGGGCCTTCTAACCTGTCTTCCATCTGATTTGTTGACATTGTTTTCCCAAACAAATAAGTAAAAGAGGGAGTGTGTATGTACCTGGGTTTTTTGCACAATTTCAAAAAAATTGCATAGATGGATAGAACTCTTTAAGACACTGAACTCCTGTATATGTTCGCACTCAAATAATGGAAGTTGTGTCCCGATGAAGGGAAATGCAATATGGGCTTATCCCCTATCAAACACTGGGAATCTTCATAGGCACAAGTTATGACAAACTTTTCATCCACATGAAAAGCTTTCTTCAGAGGTCGTACCAGAAAACTGAGGCTCAAGGCAAGCAGGCTTCAATGGTTTAGTCACTAACAGTCCTTCTCCCTGCCAGAAGCTCTGAGGGAAGGGAAAATCCCAAAGGACAGCATTGGCATCGTATGTTCAACTCTAAAGGCAGCTCTTGTATATGAGGTATATTAACGTGAGGCACAGAAGTGGCCTGTTCAGAGACACACAGAACCACTAGAAATATTTGCAGTGATCCTCTGATCATCCTCAAAGCATCCCTTTGAGCTGTCAGAAAAATGATTGGGAAGCACTACCTGTCCAGGCAGCTCCATAATGACACTATGGGATTATAACGTCCTGTATTCAGAGATTCTCATTGCCTAGGCTTTATTTACAGACTGACAGGCACTGAGTATGTGAGATAAGTTTAATAACAAAGTGATATTACAAGTATTAATGGAATTTATCATCCATGCAAGTGTCTCACATGATCTAGGCAATTTGAAGTGTCTGAAAGTTTGTGATTCTAAATGAGCTATCTATCCCCCTTTACAACCCTGAGAATCTAGTAAATGCTTAAGAGCTATAACGAAATTGTAGGCTCAGTTGATTTTTCCAGGTTTTTTTGTTTGTGGTGGTTTGGTTTGGGTTTTTTCTCCCTTTTCCCTTTTACGCTACAGCTGATTATCTCCTGTTTTCTGTAACTTACTTGTTTCCTGAATTTCCAAGTCTTCTCTGCATGACCTTCTTCCTTCAGAAGGGCTGTGTGTAGTAGGAGGTAGAAATGGGATGTTACAGGACAGAGAGTGTTGGTAACATGGAGGAGATGTACATGTATAGTTTAGTCTTCGGATATGAAATTGGAATTTGAACAAGAAGGGGGGAAAAAAGCCTCTTCTGGTTATTGAATATTGAGATCAGATAATGTTTCAAAATGCGCTCTGAGTGGGAAATAGCCAAGGATAGGGATGACTGGTGGAGCAAGGCAGGTTATATTCCTGCCTTCAGTACACTAGTAAGTAGGAGTCAAGTCAGTGCACCACTGATGCCTAAGTATGAAAGGTTTGCAAGCAGAAAAGGAACAGCACCAAACTCCTAGCAAGGCTTTCTCAGCTGTGTGTCTGGATTAGCACCCTGTAGCATCTTTAGTTAACTTCAGGATAGCTGTAGCATGTCCAAACGATCTGTTGACTGTCCAGGGGAAGCTTTTGGTTAGGATTGGGGTTGTTTCAAAAACCTTTTCTACACCTTGTTGATGAAGCTTGAATTTACTCTGTGAGTGCATCACAGGCAAAAATGGGGTGTGTCCTTCTACAACATGCTTGTATGCTGGAGATACTATCAGATGGATTTGGTTTGTTTTTTTGTGGGTTTTTTTGTTGTTTTGTTTGTTTGTTTGTTTTTAAAATGCTGCAGTTAGTTGGCTTTGGAATAGTGCTTTGGAAATGAACTTTGGAAATGCTGTTCTGCATCTATTCTTTTTGCACTTGTCTATATAAGTCTGTACATTGTGGTAGCTTTTGAAAAGATGGAAATTGCTGCCCTTCCCAGATAGCAAAAAAGACAGTGTCTCTTTATGGGACCATGCAGAATCAGCAAGCACAATGGCCTGTGAACTGTTAGGGAACTCTTAAGGAAGCATTTAAACAAAACAGGAAAAGGGTCCTCAATCTTTGGAGCCATAACCATGAGAAGAAAGTGCAAGTGATGGTGTGTCCCACACCGGACTTCTATCTTTCCTGTTTTCTCAGTTTTAGCAGTTTAAAAGGTTCAGCTGTAGCCACAAACAACTCATGGAAGTGGAGGACAACTGGAATGAGGATGTGTTGTTTAGATCATCTGGAACAATGTGCTCCTAACACAAGAGGCAAAGATAGATGTAAATCAGCAAAATACGGGATAATAGTCATAGGATTCATATATGTTCAGGTCACTTTATATGACTTTATATGTAAGAGTTATATGTCCATGTTGGTCTTATTTACATTCATAATTTTAAAACTAGTTACATCATAAAAAAATAATTATAGCAATGCAAAATATTTTATTTTTCTTTTGTGGAAAGATGGCTCATTTTGCTGGGAACATGCTCCCAGAATTATTATAGGCACTTAAAACTACCTGATTAAAAAGCTCCAAACAGCTATAACCACTCTGTTAGCGTGAGACTGTAGGTAGAG